TCATTTCTCTACAGTGGGGGATGCTAATCTGTACAAAAGGTTTTGTAAACCTAAAAAAGGAAGATAAAATTAAATTGTAGCAATTAAGTCAAATTTAGTCCAAACTGAATACAGCTAAACCTGTTGTAGCACATACACTCATTATACATCTCTCTCTTTTATATATATGCAAACACTGTTATCTCATTATAAATAGAATTGGCTCTTTTATAAAATTACTAATAAACAGCTTACCTGTAATTGTGAAACACACAACGGACTTTTCATTAGTGCAGCTTGTATAATTAGGCATGAAACAGGTGTACACAATTTAAACAATTGAAGGATCAGGCAGTTGCTCATCAATGTAGATCAAAAGACTGTTTGTTTGTGCCCTCTCACAATTAGGGAATGAAAAGAATCTTCTTGTGGCAATAGCAAGTAGCACCTACACTGTAAGGGATATCACTTCTGCAGTATACATCAACTCAAAAGATTTTTTTCACAGGAGAAAATTATTGATGCGAAATCTTAAAATAACAACATATTTGATCTTCGCTTTTAAAAAAAACAAAACCACATTGCTTTTAAAGCCAACATGTTGACACCTTTGAATTTCATTGGATTATGGTAATTACAATCAAAATATGAAATGTTCAAACATCAATTCATGTAATATACTTTTCTATACACCTTCCAATTTTTCCTCACACAGAGAATTGTATTTACATACTTAAAGCTGTTACTGCTGATAGGCCCCAATGACTGCAGAAGGCAGATGGTCACCGATTACATAACATTATCTAGTAAATTTGCCAGGGGACAATTATAATGGTTGCGGTGACCAGCTGATGTTGAACTTAGCTGACTCTTAGCACAAGTTTAACTCTACTATAAATTTATTTAATGTGACAGTATCCATTTAAAGGTATTGCTTAAAAATGATGGCCATGGATGACAAAAGGATTCCAATTGTTTTCTCAGAAGAATCATTTAATCTTGTGTTTTGGGCATTTGAATCACACTGAGCTTTACTGCATTAACTTTAAATCTCATTTACTCTCAGCTTATTCAAAAACTTTCTATACATGTTTTGAAAAACATTTCAGAGACAATCAAGATAATAAACAAAGCTGAGAGATGTAGATATGTTTGGGTCTTCAGTATAAAACATAATTTTTTAAAAAGTTTGCTAATTGCAAAATTAGACGTAAAATTCTGCATCAAATCAAGATAGCTTTCAAAACAGTGGCATCCAAATCAATTCAAGTTTTCTCCCCATAGTTTTGTCAAGAATGATCTCACTGGCTTAATATACTTATGTAGTACTTATCTTAATTGCTTTTTATCTGGTGCTGCTCTGACTTCACTAAACTCTTCATCCAGTTGTTGCCATTTGTGACATAAAAAGCAATGCCCAAAATGTCAGAAGTATTCCATATGATAAAATTAATGTGATCATGGTTTGTTTGACCTTTAAATTTACAGCTTGTGGCAACTACACAAGCCAACATTTTACTCTGTTCTTAAAAAAAGTAATATAAAAGAGTGAGAAGCAACAAGCTTTGTAAAATTCAACAAATAATTTATTTCCATAAAATACAAAGTGAAAATGTAAAAAAACTTACAGTATTGCAAATTAAATCCCCAATAATCCAGGAATTACTGACTTAAGCACTAATGATTAAAGTCCTTAATAAACTTTAGTTGAAATACAAATTAAATTTAATGCTTGAATTGTTGACATCACTGTGGTGGCCCATGTTGTTGTGACATTTCAAGTCTCAATATCTAAGAATATTATTTTTGATGAGCACTTTGTGTTTCCAGTAAATAAATAATATGAATAAATAAAATTCCAACCCAACTACTGGACACAACAATTATACAATTGATTCTGTTTAGATCTTAAAACACAAATAATTTCAAGAAAACATGATTATACAGTTCTCAGTCCATAATTAACCCTTTTTTTATAATAAAACCTATTACCATAAAAAATTTCTTTCTTAAGGTTTTAAATGTTTTCTAGATAAAATAACTACAATAATGTTAATAGTTTAACCATATGTACAGTGAGTATTTTAGCTATGTCTTCATTCTTTACAGAAAGTAAAATTTATGTTAAGTAGAAAATGAACTGATTTTGTATAAGGTTAGATGCAACATGTTACATTACCAATAGTCTGTAATGTAATTTTAAAATCAAACAGACAGACAGACAAACAATGCAACTTAAGCATACATACCACCACAGAACTGGTACTGATAAAAAACACTGAATTCAGAGCAACTTTAATAGATCTCGCTTGAGTTTTGATAAAAAAATTATTGGAACCATTCCAAGCTTTGGGTTTAGTACTTAAATGATATAAACAATAAAGACACTTGCATAAATGTATCATTCAGCAATACCATTATTCTGCAGAACTCTCTAAAGACTGACTGATTATTTTGAAAGGTTTCTAAGCATTGTGCAATAAGTGATCTAAAGCCAGTTCCAGGCATTGGTATAAATGTTCAGATATAGTAGTTTAATTTTGTCATCATTGACAAAAAATGACCCATGTTAATAGTGCTGATATTATGAGCCATCATTGCCAAAATAAAAAATATGAAATAAACTTTAAGAAACTCATTTTAAAACTGACTAAAGATTTCAATGAAGATCAAACACAAATTATTAATATTATTCTTGATCATCACTACAAAATCATCACATGACTTGTACAGACCTCAAGATGTGTTTTACAAGGACTTTCAAAAGTTTTCAAAACTATTTTTCTCACCAAATTTTAAAAATTCTAAAAGTTACTTTGTTTATCACTGCATAAATAGTTACCAACAAAATAGGCACAGAAGTGAGGAAAAATAATTAGTGAACCACTGTAGGAATGGGACACAACTCCATTGTAAAGCTAATCACACAATTTCATCCCATTGGAATGTGGTCACTAGCCACATTTATTTATTTATTTATTCAATCATTATTCTCTAAAAATACAAAAATGAAAAAAAAAAATGAATTAAAAATTATATAGATTATATTCAATTTTAGCATTCATAATCAACATATACACTCAAAGAACTTGGGATTTTTTAAAATACAAATTCAGACTTTTCAAGGACAAAACCATCTTTTCCCAAATTTAAGTATTTTTCAAGGCAACCTTTCAAAGATTTTTCTTATTAAATTATAATGACCTAAAATTTCATGTTTAACTGCTACTTACTTGGATATTTTCAATTATCAATTAAAATGTAATTTCAAATCATTAAATACTATTTTTGCATTTTAATGAAAATATTGACAAAGCCTTATTGTAATGTCATTCAGGCTTAAGCCATTTCAGTTGTAAAACAAGTCTCAGTGTTATAACGAGGGAGAACTTTAACAATATAGAACTGTAATAAAAATATAATGCCAAATTAAAAAAAAATTGAATAAACAGAATATAGAAAAGAGAATAAAAAACTTGCAGCAAACCCCCAAAATCCAATAGTAAAACTTATGACAACTCAAACATGAAAAATTCCAATAATTTGTGTTACTCAACTGACTTCAGACTACTTAAAAGTTTCTGCTAAAAGATTTTTGAATTTGTTTTGTATTCTAAAGTATTCTATTTTAAAATATTTATTGTCTAAAGACCATTATACCTTGAAAAACATTTTCTTTCACCTAAATATTTTTCCCAGCATTCAATTATTTTAAAAAGACATTTTCACATTAGGAATGTGAATTAGGTTTTAGATTTATTTTCACAGTTAAAATTAAATAATTCAAAAAAAGTTTTTACTTTTTATGTTACCACTAAAATGTTCTTTTTTTGGTTTTAATCACATTTTTCTTGTTCACATATTACATATATTAACAATATCATGCAGAGGACATGGGAGTTGAATGCCTTCCAAAGGACAAACTAAGGCAGATAACCCAGGCATACTTGTACAGGCATTGAACCTGTATCCCTTGGATTACAAATCTGATGCTCAACCAACTCAGCTGCTGTGACATCCCTGTCAAACATTGGTAGGAAAATAGAAATATAGTGAAGTGACAATTCATATATTTTTGTGGACATTCATTTTTAAGGTAATGTAATAAATTACATTTTAGTTTTAATCCATGCACCTGGTAGGTGGCCATATTAGTTTCTTATATGATGCATAATTTAATTGTTCTTTAAATTTATAGTTTTCAGCAACTACAAATTCCAACAAAATTGGCAACAACAGAAAAACAATGAGTCAGCAAAACAAAAAATAATTTTCAATTTTTACCTTCCAAAAACTAGCTACCATGATTTACAATTCTTGATTTTAAAGATTATATAATTAAAGTAAAAACTCTATTTTAGTTTACGTATATTTTATTGTAACAATGTGATACAATGGGATTAGGCACAAATTCTAACAACTTAAATTAGCCCTCTCCCTACATACTACAAGTATTACAACATATTCAACATGATAATAATGAAAAATGATGATAATGAGAGTATTTTGACTTTTTTAATGTAGCTGTAACAATTTTTCAGTCATATCGCTATGATGTCTGCAGTGTGACAGTTTATAGTATGTTGCACAGAGGCAACATACTACAAACATGTGGCAATATGTGCCATCCAGTCACATTATCCTGACACCAGGCTGTGTGCCACCCAGTCACATTATCCTGACACCAGTCGGTGTGCCATCCAGTCACATTATCCTGATACCAGGCTGTGTGCCACCCAGTCACATTATCCTGACACCAGTCGGTGTGCCATCCAGTCACATTATCATGACACCAGGCTGTGTGCCACCTAGTCACATTATCCTGACACCAGTCTGTGTGCCATCCAGTCTCATTATCATGACACCAGGCTGTGTGCCATCCAGTCACATTATCCTGACACCAGGCTGTGTGCCATCCAGTCACATTATCCTGACACCAGGCTGACCAGTCCTCATAGTAACTTATTAATGCTGAACGTCAAGCAAGGCAGCTGTTTGTATCATTTTATAAGTATTTGGTATGACTCAGCCAGGGTTTAAACCCACAACCTCCTGCATTCAAGGTGGACACTTTAACCACTTCAGCCACTGAAGCACTGAAGTGGTCAAGAGTGAGAGAGGCACAATGACAGCAATCACAGTTTGAGAAAGTTGTTGAAATTGTCCAGTATTGGTTATATATTTGGATACATGATGTAAACTTTTACTTTTTTCATTTGCATCAATCTTTCCTCCAAGAAGTAAATCTTAGCTCTAAGCAAATATTTAACAAAGTTCAGACCTAGATTACCAAATTTAATTTTTATTGAATGCTGTATTTTGTTCAGTCTGGTATCTCACAAAGGTGAATTGGTTTGGCAGAGGCTCCCAAACTTCCAATTCAGCTATGCCAAAAATGAGTCCACCCAGGATATGAGATGGTACACATCAATAACATGCATATTGTATGCTCTAATTGGTAATTAGCATTCCTTCTCAGTTTTTTAAACATTTATCAAGAAATTACGAATACTGAAATACCACATATACTTACTTATAAATCCAAACCAACAATTAACAATATAGATGCTGATCTGCTATTGCAAAATGTACTGGCAGATCAGGGTCTACAGTATTAATTACTCCAAACATAGCATCCAGATCTACTGGCACATTTTCTTAGGCAGAGTTCTGGGTCTATGGAGTTTGCAAATGGATTTAGCGTGTAAGCGAGTATGTGTAAGCGAGTAGAGTATATACCGTATCAGGTTTGCTGGATGATGTGGAACATTTGATAATGTTGTCAGACACATCTTAATTGATGATGTATACTGCTTGAAAATGATATTAAAAGGAAAATATTGTTCTGTTACCTCTTACGTTAAGTCATAGGTACAAACTCAGTTTAGAATAGTAGCTCTAAAGACTCATTTGCTGTATTTACTCACACATATGCTGTATTAACTCACACATGCTGTATTAACTCACACATATGCTGTATTAACTCACACATGCTGTATTTACTCACAACTAGGAAGCTCTAGATCTGCATATTTGTGTACTTCACAAAAACAAATAGACTAAAACACAAGACATTTTATTGTATTCAAACTACACAGAACAACCAAATATTAAATATACAGTCTTAAATTATTACATGTAGTGTATTATTGCTGCTGCAGGCACAGTTGAGTCGATCAATATCAACAATGCTATAAGGATATGATCCAGATGTTCTGTGCATGTGTAAATGAAAGCAAATAGTAACTGAACATACAATTAGTTTTTAGTCCACTGCAGGCATTTTTAGGCATGGTGAAAATATTTTGATGATTTTGGTTTTGTGTTTGTGATTTGGATTTTTAATGTAGCTTTAACAATTCTGCAATCATATCACCATGGTGTCTGCAGTATGACAGTTTATAGTGATAACTAGCACTGTGAAATCATCTTGTAACCTTAGCATGTCCCACCCAGTCACACTAGCCTGACACCAGGCCAACCAGTCACACTAGCCTGACACCAGGCCAACCAGTCACACTAGCCTGTCACCAGGCCAACCAGTCACACTAGCCTGACACCAGGCCAACCAGTCACACTAGCCTGACACCAGGCCAACCAGTCGAAACACTAACCTTTTACTGCTGAGTGTCTTGTGAGGCAGCTTTTATAAGTTTTTAGTATGACTCAAACAAGGTTCAAACCTGTGAATTCTCGCATATGAGGTGGACACTCTAACCAATAGAGTACCAGAGCAGTTGATTTTTTTTTGGTAAGATTGTATTTATGGCATTAACAAAATACCTGTTTGAATATGAAAAAATATAGTTCCAAACTTTGTCATACAAAATACAATTTATGAAATTCTTCTCTGCATGTGATACACATCCAATAGCACATGGAATAAATCCATAATCCATATATGCCTTCATGTGATGTAATGGTAGAACCGAGTCATTTTGATGTGCATTCTGTAAGTGTATTAATACGATCTTAACAAATTTATGAATGTTACTACTTGCTTATCACTGCATTAATAGGTGCCAAAACTAAGTACCAAAGTTAGGAAAAAAAATAATTAATTAGCAAACCAACACAGCTAGGAACAGTCTACTCTATCTTATAACTACTCAAATGTGTCAATTGATCCACCTAATTTTATTCCATTGGAAATGGGTAATTAAACACCTTTTGTGCAGTGAATATCCCAATAATAAATCAATTTTTTTTCTGGAATTATGCCAAATGATTCTTAGCCATTAAGATCTAAATATTAAATAGCTCTATAGACCAGTAGCATTAAAACATTTAGAACTGAGTTAGACATTCTTCCTTTAAAACAGTTACAAACTCAATTAATGAGCTCTATAGACCAGTAGCATTAAAACATTTAGAACTGAGTTAGACATTCTTCCTTTAAAACAGTTACAATCTCAATTAATGAGCTCTATAGACCAGTAGCATTAAAACATTTAGAACTGAGTTAGACATTCTTCCTTTAAAACAGTTACAAACTCAATTATTAAGCTCTATAGACCAGTAGCATTAAAACATTTAGAACTGAGTTAGACATTCTTCCTTTAAGACTATAAACAGTTACAATCTCAATTAATGAGCTCTATAGACCAGTAGCATTAAAACATTTAGAACTGAGTTAGACATTCTTCCTTTAAAACAGTTACAAACTCAATTAATGAGCTCTATAGACCAGTAGCATTAAAACATTTAGAACTGAGTTAGACATTCTTCCTTTAAAACAGTTACAAACTCAATTAATGAGCTCTATAGACCAGTAGCATTAAAACATTTAGAACTGAGTTAGACATTCTTCCTTTAAGACTATAAACAGTTACAATCTCAATTAATGAGCTCTATAGACCAGTAGCATTAAAACATTTAGAACTGAGTTTGACATTCTTCCTTTAAAACAGTTACAAACTCAATTAATGAGCTCTATAGACCAGTAGCATTAAAACATTTAGAACTGAGTTAGACATTCTTCCTTTAAGACTATAAACAGTTACAAACTCAATGTGGTTTGTTTTACAACCAGGAAATTCTTGTGCTCTAAAGGCCAATTTTCCAGAGTGAAACATTAGAGAAGGTAAAATCAATTTGCAGATAAACCAATTTGGTCCTTTTCAAGTATGAGTTTGCTTGAAATTACTCACTCCCACCTGGCTTTCAGATATCAAGTGATCAGTTTTTTCTGAAAAGGCTTATATGTATCAATAGCTTCAAAACCTTTTTAAAGTCCCAAATTAAATGAACCAAAAGTAAAAAGAAATTAGTTGTTTACTTTAAATGAAGCAAACTGATCAGTTGTTTATATTAAATAAATCAGATAATCAGTTGTTTACATTAAATGAACCAAAACGATTTTTTGCTTGCTGAAAACATATTGGCTTTGAATCTAGACAGAAACTGAGGTCTCAGTCTTTGAATTCCAATAATTACCAAGAATACTTTTTATGCTTGATTTGAGACAGATGGACAACATAGCTTTAGCAAATATCAACTATTCTCAAAGTGCAGTGTACTTCTTTTTAACAGCCAGCCAAATTAATATACCTTTATTAAACAGCCAAAGTACAGAGTTCCTCTTTTAAAGTACTGAATACTTCTCTTAAATAGTCAGTACAGTGTAATTCTTTTAATGTAGAGTGTACTTCTCTTAAATAGTCAACATATAGTGTACCTCTATTAATAAGCCAAAGTACAGTATTCCTCCTTAAACAAAGTGTACCTCTCTTAAGCAGCCAGACAAATTAGTGTACCCCTCTTCAACAAAGTACAGTATACCTTTATTAAACATCTGGCCAAAATACAGTGGAACCATAATTAAACAACTCAAGTACAGTGTACCTCTCTTAAAGTAGTGTAATCTTCTTAAACAGCCAGATTACATTGTACCAACCTAAACAGCCAAAGTAGTGTACCTCTTAAACAGCCTACCAAAATACAATGTATCAATAGCATACAGCCAAAGTACAATGTATCTCACTTAAACAGTCAAATGAGTATAGTATACCCCTTTTAAAGTACAGTGTACCTCTCTTAAACAGCCAGTCATATGAGAGAAGAACATAATGTATGTGTAACTGAGGTGGATGCCAAACGAGGTAATAATACCTGGATGAAGTGAAAAGAGGGGAAATTCTGATTCTGGTTTCATAAGTGAAGTATATCAATCACTCCCTCATTATATGGACCTTCATTATAACAAAGTATTTTTCATAAGGAGTTATGGTCATGGATCACATTTCTTCATGTAGTAGAAAATAGTTGCAAAATGTAATTCACTGTAAAATGGCATACTGTATGGCTTCCATTAGCATCATCATAATGAATGCTTGAATACTTCATTGGAGGGGCTCTGAGTGACCGAGTTGTCTAAAGCCATCTCACCTCTGTCGGATTCGGAAAATGTGGATATTTGAGAAAGCTTGTCAGTAGCTTCTCATGGGTCACTGGTTCTTTCCGTGGATTTCCCGGTTTCTTCCTCCACCATTAATACTGGCCACCCTGTATAGCCTGTCATGTGCATAAAAATGGCATTAAGCCCCAGAACAACAACTTCATTAGAAGGTGACCTCACTATATGGTAATATATTATTGAGGCTCCCATTGGTAGCATTATAATGTGTACTGTATAATGCACTTCAGTATTTCAGTATATGGTGACCTCACTATATGGTGACATACTATACATCATATGCAAAAAGACATAAATAAGTACCATTACCTTATGTGTGATTTGGATTAATGTAGCTTTAACTATTTTTCAGTCATATTGCTATGATTTATTCAGTGTGACAGTTTATTTTGATGTTTAGCACTGGGGCATAATGCCACAGACATGTAGCATGATGTCCCACCCATCCAAACACGTTATTCTGACACCAGGCTGACCAGTCCTATCACTAACCTCTTAATGCTGAGTGCCAAGTGAGGCAGCTGTTAGTACAATTTTTATGTCTTTGGTATGACTTGGCTGGGAATCGAACCAACAACCACCTGCATCTGAGGCAAACGCTCTAACTGCTAGACTACTAGACTGGTGGTAATATAGAATATGAGAAATACTGATATAAAGAGGAGGATGAAAAATAGCTGAGTATGTGAAATATTGATATAAAATAGAATATGCAAAATACTTTATATATATATATATATATATATATATATATATATATATATATATATATATATATATATATATATATATATAGTGTTGAAATATAATAGGTAATTTCATAGTTAAAAAGAACTTGCAAGATATTGCTATTTAAGTGAGATTTTATAAACCTGTAAATGCCTGAGGGATTGTTAACTTGGTATATTATATTTCACCAATATTAATTTTATTGGGATTTATTTATCCTACAGCCATAAGCAAAGGCAATTTTTTTAGATAAACATATATAAATCCTGAAAAATAAAAATAAGTTTCACATACCTTCATTTATAACTTTAAAGATATAGTATTGAAAATCCACAATAATGCTACTTTTCCTTAACATTCCATAACTAGTATGTCGGAATACCAAACACTGTTATTTAAAGCAAGATCATATATTCCCACTGAAGAAGCCACTCCTACCAAGTACAGCCTATTAATTTAACACCTACAGTTATGCTGGTCTATTTGAGGTAGGTCTAAAAACTTGCACAAGCTAAGATGTGAAAAGCCACTGCTGATGCTGTTTCCTTTTCAGCTGGGAAAATTGCAGTAGCATTTCCTTACAAGTGTAATTTCATAAAAAAGGCACAGACAGCAATAGTTCAAAAGAAAATTTGAAAATATTCTTAGAAGTTTTGAGTGATTATTTGTTCCAATTTAAAGTAACTTACTTCTGCAGATCACACATACACTGCTATCTTAAGTTCTCATTATTATTGTCACAACAGTAAGGTAATGCACAGCTTAATCATGTAACAAGAGGATAATGTGGGTCTAAGATCACTCACCTGATTGTGAATTACTTACAATCCAAATGTATTGACAGTGCATTGGGGATAATTAAATTTATATGATGCTTTCAACATTTAATCATTATTGTAGTTTTTAATAAATTAATGGCAGTCATAGAGGTCTAAATATAGGTACTTTGCATCATTTGTGAAAGCCCAAAATGCTTTGATTGAGTATGCCTTTTGTGAAATTTAGTTAACTTCTGTTGACATATTTTTGAGAAGTTGTTCGCTTAAGGTTTATGAAGTTTAGCAACATTAGCCAACTTACCTAAAAGGCCATTATATTAAAATTCTTTTAAAGTAAAATTGGATAAAAAAAAATTTGGGGTAGATTTTGAGAACCATGTTTTTAAGTCTTTTCTCTTGCTAGCAAAAGTGTCCATATTTAGAAATCATTTGTATAAAACTGAAAGGTCTTCATGTCAGAATGCATGCAATGAAAGGCCTTCATGTCAGAATGCATGCAATGAAAGGTCTTCATGTCAGAATGCATGCAATGAAAGGCCTTCATGTCAGAATGCATGCAATGAAATGTCTTCATGTCAGAATACTTTCATTGAAAGGCCTTCATGTCAGAATATTTGCATTTAAACTAGTTTTGTAGTGTACTGAGCAAAAGCAAAAAACAGTTAATGTTGGCAGACAACTCATGATGAACACTAGGTGAATTACTGTAACATAAACTCACTAGGATGGGTCTTATTGCCCATTTATCCCCAAATATATAATTTTAACATTCACAACTCTTATCTGAAGGTTTCCTTTTTCCCTCCAACTGCATTCCCTATTGTGCCTTATATACTCATATACATGTATAATTCTGATCCGAATGCAAACAGCACAGACGACGCAGATCTGATATCACTTATAATTCGCAGATCTGATATCACTTATAATTCGCAGATCTGATATCACTTATAATTCGTCAGAAGATCTGGGATTATGTCTATGAAATTTGTTAGAACTTATCAGATAAATAAACAATAGGAACCCCAATGTGCTAGTGCATTACGGAATGACAGATCTGAGTCTATGTTGATTTCCATTGGTTCTATCTTGTAAGTGATGATATATGGTATGTCAGCTCACTTGATCAACCACCTCCATCCAACAGCCAAATTGTTTCTCTGCACATTAATTGGTGGTTGATGAGATATTGTGCTTTGTAGCTTTCAACAATTCCCAGCAGCTGTTTAACCTCTTTATGTCAATCAAAATATAGTCTCCAGGCCAAGTGGTGCACATAATTCCATCCAAGTTGACCAGAATGCTGAGTCCCCAATTTACATACTAGTGCAAAATGTGTGACCTTAAACCCAAAGTAAAAAAGGTGAATGAATGTCACAGTGAATTGTCTTAGCTTCATAATGATTCATCTGATTTATGAACAAAATCCATCAAATCTTTACTCATTGTGACCTTTACACAAAGGTCAATGGGGCATGCAAGCATGACATACAATTCATTGGTGCCATCAGGCTTAAAGGATTTACCCAGGCAATTTTGTTGCTAACACCCACCTATATTCAATAAAAGAACCAAAAATTTTTTTTTAAATGTATGGAACGTCTTTGTTCTTGTAAAATTAAGAAACACACTGAGAATATGTTGTCTTATTTTGCAAATATTAAAGCCCAGTTTGATGAGAAATTTCTAATGTTTTTTCGAAAATATTAGCAAATGAAAAAAAAAACAAACATTTTTGAAGCCTGTGACATTGACCTGGGAGTAAAAGTAGCAAGTGAACATGTTGAAGAATGAACTATTTTAGCTCTGTAATGATTCATGCCAAGCAAGATGTGAATCTATCAAAGAGCTTAGAAACATATGCAAATTAAAATCTGTAACTAAGACCTTAACAAACTTTTGATGTTGCTGGCACTCTTGATACTGTCAGAAAAGTGATTGCTATGTTTTGCTTCCCTTTTAACATGGCAAGGACAATAAAAACTGGCAGCTAGTGTTAGTTATCAGCTCTTCTCGAACTGCAGAGATAAATTGAAAAAAAAAAAGAGCCGATAACATTTTTTACATTTTATGTATTTGGTAATTCATTCATTGCACTTTTAGAAGCTGGCATTGTCTAGTTTGGCAAAATTCATTTTTCCTATTTTAATAGCTGCTAAGAATAGTGTACTTTAGACAAATTCAGGTTGATTTTTGGAGCACAAGGGAGCAGTCATATTTAGTTAGCAGTGTGCTAAGATCATTTAAAATTTCCCAAAGTACAATATCTAAAGAAATTTCAGCCACATTATATGAAAGTAGCATATAGGTATGTCAACATTTTCTCCACTGTGCATGTTTAAAGTGCAAACAACTTCACCTTACATACATCACTTTCTCAAAAGTATATAATAACTGGTGAGTGCCACCATAAAGAGTATATAGGTATTATTATTATTGTATGATTGTATGGCTAAAATATTTAGGTCACAAGCATCAAAACAGTCCTTTGGAATAATTGTCCTGTATTTTCCCCCTCAGAACAGCATTTATTAGAATCATAGTCTCAACCAGGTACAGCCACCCCCCTCCTTATGATAACAAGTGAACAATTTTAAAAAATGTGCATTGCATTTTGTCAACATAGCAACCAGTGTTATGCTGAAAGACAGGAACATAAAACTAGCCATATTTTTTCCTGAGATGTTAACATTAAATTTTACAGTTCGAAAAGAGATATAACAGGTGAGGTTCATAAAGGTCAAAAGTTAAAGGTTAAATTATTAACTTATTGTTTGATATTGAAGCAAATTTGCTTTGTCATCATTTATTTTTTTAAATTTCATTGCAAAAAAAATGAAAAGAAACATTTCAATTATGTATTTCTGTTATTTAATGCAACAGTTTTCAATTTAAGTTGACCTTATTTCTATATTCTAAGACTTCTAATTTCCTCATAAAAAATGTCACTACTCACCCAAACATGCCTCATGGCAAATTATATAAACTAGAGAAAAGCAAGCATGATTAGCTTATTTTCATGAATATAATCAATGTTAATGTACCATTTTATTCAGAACATCATACATAATAATATGAAAATAAGAAAAATAATTGCATAAATGTTTATGTTTATACATGTATTAGTTTTTAAGATGACACTCTACAGTTTCATATTTAGCATAGGGTTAGAATTTTAAAGAAAAAGAATTACCTAGGTTTCCTCACTAGTTATACTGGCTATTTAAAAAAGACTTTGTATATCTTAGGTATTGTTCAAAGAACCTTTAATTCCCTTTATTTTGGTATATGATTGATGGGTGTAATATGGGTTAGAGAGTACACAGCTTGGCCTTACTCCAGATGTGCACCTTTCAAAAATGTGCTAGCTCTACTAGCTCATTTTCACTTCTCGAACTTCAGAGTTAAATTGAAAAAAAAAAGAGCCAATAACTTTTGTACATTTAATGTATTTGGTAATTCATTCATCGCACTTTTAGAAGCTGGCATTGTCTAGTTTGGCAAAATTCATTTTTCCTATTTTAATAGCTGCTAAGAAGTGTACTTTAGACAAATTCAGGTTGATTTTTGGAGCACAAGGGAGCAGTCATATTTAGTTAGCAGTGTGCTAAGATCATTTAAAATTTCCCAAAGTACAATATCCAAAGAAATTTCAGCCACATTACATGAAAGTAGCATATAGGTATGTCAACATTCTCTCCACTGTGCATTTTTAAAAATACAAATAACTTCACCTTACATACATCACTCTCTCAAAGGTACATAATAACTGGCGAGTGCCACCTTATGCTGAAGTTGTTTTATCTGGATGCATTATTTGCTGTGTTTTTGCTTATGTTGAAGTTGTTCATCTGGGTGCATTATTATGTGGCTAGCTTGGAAATGAAGTTTTGTACCTTGGACAAACTATTTGTTGGACCTAAGACTTGACTTCCATTGTTGCTTGGCTTTATGTAATGCCTGTAATAAAGGTAACCTTTAGAACAGAGATTTGAATAACCTTTGCGGTTTTCCATGATTTCCATTTTGGAATAATTCTGTTGTAAAACCTCCGCTCAGTTGGCTTAGTGGTTAGATAGTCCATAGAAGGTTGTGATTCTGAATCCCAGACAAGT